TCCTCAAGACTGGTACAGTGAAGCCACCACATTGCCATAAGATGGACTTGATCTGGAGAGAATTCTTGGAGCCAGGATGGCGGCTGTGGGGGAAGCGGGCGCCCACCAGCCACCCACACAAGAGGGGCTGCACACCAGCCAAGCACCCATGCGCCATGGTTGGGGGGGTCGCGCCTCCCACAGGCCTCCTGCACTGGGTAGGGGGGCACACCCCACTGGCCGCCTGCATAGGAGGTGTGGGATGGGATGCATGACCGCCATCTGCAGGTTTGGGTCTCCTTGGACAGGCCAAAGTAGACAATTACCTATGCATTGGACAGGCCAAAGAAGATGATTACCTATGCATTGGACAGGCCAAAGAAGAAGATTACCTATGCACTGGACAAGCCAAAGAAGATGATTACCTATGCATTGGACAGGCCAAATAAGATGATTACCTAAGCAATGAATTGCTGAAAGTCATTGTGAGTTTGATGACCTTAACAGTGGCAGCATGCACAAGAGGACTGACATCCTAAATGCACCACATATTTTGTTCTGTTGAATGCTTCTGCCAAAAGATGGTTAGACCTGGGGGGAGTTTGTTCACAATTCTTGGATCCCTTTATCATATATAAAGGGGGAGGGCAGTGACACCTACTTCAAGTTATAGCATGACCACTTATGGGGGGGGGTGGTAAAAGTGGCAGTGCTGGAATTGGAAACACTATGCCTGACCACAGAGTCCTTAGTCAGGCGAGGGGAACAGACTGGGGTAGGGGCAATTGGAGGGGGGAGTATACCAGCCAGCTCCTGGGGGGTGTTGCCCTGCTCAGGGTGGGCTACCCTTGACCTCCAGCCCAGAGCGAGCCATCATGGCCCTCTGCCTGGGGTGGGCTGCCCTCGGCCCCCGGCTCAGGGCGAGTCGTCGCGACCCTCTGCCCGGGGCAGGTTGCCCTCAGCCCTCTGCCCGGGGTGGGCTGCCTTAGGCCCTTGGCTCACGTTGAGCCGTCGCGGCCCTCAGGTTGAGCTCCTCAGTCCCCAGTTTGTGCCATTGTCCCCAGACTGGGCCCTGGGTGGGGAAGGAGAAAAAAAAAAGAATGTCTAGGGTATCCAATGTTACCTAGGCCACCTTCTGCCACCCTCCCTCCAAGTAAACCTGAAAGCAACACCCTCAAAGCCCTTCTATTTGTAACTCACAAGTTTGTTCTCTCCAGGTTTGCTCCCTTTCCTATAGGTAACCTTAACTCTGAGTTTTACTCCAGAATTGACCCTGAATTCA